CAGTAAATACTGGGAAAAGGGAATGAACCTGTTCAAAAGGTAGGAATTACTAAGATGAGGAGGATGGGAGAGAAGAGTGGAGGAAAAAGATATATCTATGGATGTAAGTAAGATGGTTTGGATAATTGTACTGTGGATTTCTGCTGGTCTATGGAAAGGAGCAGTCAATCCTTTGTTTTGTCTTCTTTTTTCAATTTTTTTCCTTTTTCCTTTCTTCATAATTTCTTATAATTTTTTTCTTTCTTCTTCCAATTTTGCATGCATATATCTGGTACCATGAATAACTAATTTGAAGGTAACACCATAGATTACAACAAATACTGTGGGGGCGCCATCTGCACCTGGAGCTGGCGCGGCCGAACCTCGGAGCCCGGGGCGGCCGCGGGGGCGCCCGGCCGTCGGGAGCCTCCACCAGGGGAGCGCCTCGCGAGGTAAGACGCGCTCCGGACCCGTCCTGGGGCGCGCCGCGGCCGCCCCCGCCTCGCACGCCTTCCCGCGCCCTGTGCCCAGCCGCGCCCCCCGCCCCACCCGGAGACCCCACGAAACTTCCCGGTCAGCCGTCCGCCGCGAGAAGTAAGCCGTAAAATAGCGCCAAGGGTTTTGCTTGTGTGTGTTTTTAACAGATGCCTGTAGCTTCTACCAGGCTTCCTGGTAAAATGAGTCAATGGAGACGGTTGCCTTGCCCGGGCCGGCTAATCGCCGCTCCCGGGAGTCCCTCCCGGCTTTGGTAACAATGGCGGGACTGGCCAGTGCAGCGCCACTTCCGGGGCCTGCCGCACACGTGGTTTACTTCAGTCTGGTTGCCCTTGAGCCCGGAAGCAAATGCTCTGGGTTCCTCCCACTCCAAGATGGCAGCGTCTGAAGACAGCTTAGAGCTCCCTCGACTTCCCGAGCTGTTTGAAACCAGCAAACAGCTTCTGGAGGAAGTAGAAGTAGCCAGTGAACCCACCGGCGCCAAGATAATCCAGGACAGAGTGATCAAGGGACTAGATCTACTTGAGAAGGCTGCTGAAATGCTATCGCAACTCGATTTGTTCAGCCGAAATGAAGATTTAGAAGAAATTGCTTCCATCGACCTGAAGTACCTGATGGTGCCAGCGTTACAAGGAGCCCTCACCATGAAACAAGTCAACCCCAGCAAGCGGCTAGATCATTTACAGCAGGCTTGAGAACATTTTATAAACTACTTAACTCAGTGCCATTATTACCATGTAGCAGAGTTTCAGCTGCCCAAGCAACAACTTGACAAGAACAACAACTCAGCTGAAAATAACACTGCTAGTTCTTCCATGGCCTATGCTAACCTCCTTGCTATGGCGTCTCAAAGAAAGGCTAAAATAGAGAGATACAGACAGAAGAAAGAGGTGAAACATAGGTTGTCTGCACTGAAATCTGCTGTGGAAAATGGTCAAGCAGATGATGAGCAAGTTCGGGAATATCACCTCCTTCACCTGCAGAGGTGGATTGGAATCAGCTTAGAGGAGATTGAGAGCATTGACCAGGAAATAAAGATCCTCAGAGAAAAAGACTCTTTCAGAGAGGCATCAACTTCTCAGACATCTCCTCAGGATAGACCTCCAATGAAGTCCTTCATCCTCACTCGGGACAAGGCCCAGTCCAAAGTATTTGGAGCTGGTTATCCAAGTCTGGCAACTATGACAGTGAGTGACTGGTATGAGCAGCATC